AAATCGAAAATAATTGCAAAGATTGCAAAGAATACATTAATACAGAACGTGTTAAAAGTACATTTTTTAAAGTTTGCAATATAATAACAATATTACAAAAATCATACATAATGGTGATTGATTTTTAATAGCAGATCTTATACTTTACCATGTAAAACTGAAAAGCGATCAATTGAAATTGAAAATAATTGCAAAGATTGTAATTATGCGTATAAATAATATTCAAAACGTGGCAGGGATTATTTCCTTAATATCCGAAAACATCGAAGATTTCAAATTTACAATTTATGATATATAGGACTCATATTATACAACTGATTACCAATGCAATAAAGTAGTTGATCATTTTAAACATTAAAATATAAAACAGACGTTGAAATGCAAAACAAAGTAACTGGGTATGCCAAAAACAAGTTGAATGATCGATGTATATAATATTGATCTATACAGTCCAAGTATAACTCCTTGATATTTCATACATGATGTTCTATACTAAACGCAGCAAATCGAGTTACCAGTTCACCTATAACACAAAAGGGAAAATAGAATCTTCTAAGTATTCCAATATCATTGCAGATTGAAACAATGCCTTGTGTTGAAATCCCTTTATCGATATGAGAATTCTTGAGAAACAAAAATTCCAAAGTAACAATAATGATTTTGATAACAATACTGATAACGATATTTTTAATAAATTCAAGTAGTGATTATACAACTTAAACGTCCATCTCTCCTCAAATACAGTAAAATTATTGCTATCTGTATTATGTAAGAATTTTACTTTTGCAGGACAAGGAACATGGTTTTGTATGCAAAAAAAAAATAATTTGGAATTTCTGCGTTATCATTCATGTAGTACAGTTACATTCGTATTTTATCTAAATTATATTATATTACAACGCAAGAAATGTTTAAAGCTGTTCTTCTCAAAATCAAAAACTTGTATAAAAATTTTATTCTAAGATTTTCATCAAATTTTTGTATAAAAGATTATTTTATTTTCAATTACACTACTAACATTAAGAAACTTCATGTATTTATATATTGTTATTATCAAAAGTTAGTGTTTATATTTATAATCTAATTTCTTCAAATTATATAATAATGTCTTTGAAAATTTATAAAACTTCGTCATAAAGATATTTTAAAATATTCATCTGTCAAAGACTTTTTAATTTGTTTAACTTCTTAAACATTATTGAAAACGCGTGCTCTTAGTGTCGCATTCTTCATTATTTCATGAGAATTCGTCCAATGAATTGCTCAATAATAAATCTTACAAAAAAAGAAAAAAATATATATATAGCTATGTTATAATATTGTATAATAATCAAAAATGTATTATTGCTTATTATTGTACATTGTATATTATACATATATAATCTATATATATATACATTTCTTTTTTTTCATTGATACATAAATGCTAAAAATTCATTTAAAGAAAGCTATTTCATGCCTTGTTACACTTCTCACTGAATTTCAATGAAAGTGAAAGATACAAAATTACAATTGCAGTATACAAAAATATGAACATTATATAATTAAAAAACAATTCGACTTAAACAGTATTATTGACTATTTTTTATCCATTAAATTGTAAAGGATGCGGACGTTACGAAATTAAGTAAATACTTAATTGTAAATCTATAAATTTATAATTTATAATAAATAATAAATAAATTTGTAATCTATAAATTTATAATTATCAATTCTAGCTAATTTGATTTTTCTCCTATTCTTTTTATTTACGTAATGACGTCAATTCCGTTAATTGTACTAATTCACTAAAATATTTACATTTAGTTTATTTTCCCTACTTATAAGATAGTAATATTACATAATATTATATATAGTAATTATACAAATATCTTAGACTAATAGCAACGATTATCTTTGAACAAAGAAACGAAATAATTAAAACATGTTGATAAACTTTTATTAATAAGCGAGTCGTTAAAATTATAGTTGAAGTATTTTCATCTTATATTGTGGTTATGAGGAAGCAGTCATGATTTTAGATAATAATTGGTTTTAAAAGTTACCGAGGAAGTGACTCACATAAAGGGTATAAAATCCCTAGCAACAACGTCATTCGAATCATTAGTATGCTCTGTCTTATTTGGAATGTATTACGTGGTGCTGAACCATCAAGGCGTTGTAAAATTCTACAAAATAAATATCGAAAAAGATTCAAGAGTTTCTTTCTGAGTTTTCAACTAAAAACGAGTTTCTTAAATGGTAATGAAAATGCTGAACAATTAATCGTTTCATTTGAATTTATAAAAATGTTAATTCGCATTGTATTTCGTTTATTACATTAAATATTAATACAAAATTTCAAATATTAATCAAATTTTTATATCAACTTTCTAATTATTTTAACGTTCTGCTTTCGTGCAAAAGTGAAAATTCTGTGAAAAAATCAGTATCTTTTTATGGCCATAAAATAAAGTAGGTTTAGGTTACACCAATTCCTGCTAAAGAGCCATAAGTGACTTCAAGGTTTTGAGTCTTATTGAAAACTTCCAGTTTTTCCTCTAAAGAGCAAAAAAATAAAACACAAAGGTAAAATGCTATAATAATAAATTAAAGTAATTCTTTATAGATTGATTTATCAATTTATTATACCAAAATTAAGTGCTTAAGTTTACTTTAAAAAATTCTATTACTTCTATTAAAAATATATTACCATGTACACTTTACAATTAATTATATACACTTGTATTTGTAAATAATTGAACAAAAAATTAAAAGTAAGAATAAATTATTTTGTATATACATTTATAAGCTTTAATATGAATTCTATAAATAATTCGTAACTACATTTATAAAATTTTGCAAAAAATAACTGCATATATTTTTTTCATTTTAGTTTTCAAAACATTTATTCATTAACAGTTATATTGATAGCTTCAGACATATAAAAAAATAGTATACATACCTTGAATTTTAATTAAATTTAAAATTGGCAATAAATATTACAACATATATATTTATAACTTTCTACGGATATTTCTGTTTATGCAAAAACAGATAGCACATGATAAGATAACTACATGATAAATAAATTTATTCTTAAACGTAGATGTAATTTTGATTCTAATTGCTTAATTTTTATGTAAAATATTCATTTTACTTATGAGGACAAATAAATCTAACCGATACTTTAAAACTGTTTTCCAGTTACATCCACTATATAATTAATACACATAACTAAACATATAATCAAAAAATTATTATATAATAACGTATATATAAGTAAAACATTTGAATAAACATAGAAAAAGAATATAAATAATTAAATTAATATAGCTTACATTGATCTATCAAGAAAGTGTATGATATTTCACTTTTATTACATGTTAAAAAATGCTATTATATACATTCTTTTATAGTAATACTCTTTACTTTGAACCTCCGTTACACCTATACATTAAAGTTTAATTAGATAAAAGAAAGATAAATGTAACATAACGGTATAACATAAAGATGTTTACAAACTTATTCATTAGTTTGATTTAATATCTGTTATAATTAGTTTCTTTAAAATATTCTTTTGTTCATACTTGACAATATATGTAAAATAATACATACTTATAGATATCTTATCTACAAACACTTATGTTTTAAGGCATAAAAGTATCTTTGATTTCTCTTTACTTAAGCAATTATATATGTGAAAATTCTTTTTATATATTTGTAAACATAATTAAAAAAGTATTTTCTGGATATCTATCAATAGTTGAATTTATAATGTCATAATAATAAGATAAAATTAGTTTATTTCAATACCTACAAGTAAGTTATTAGTATAATATTGGTCATTAAATGAATAATATTTATATACTCCAACTTATACAACAGTATACACAAAAAAATAATATAATGTGTAAATTAATATAGATGCGTGTATCTTATACATTTTAAATGTATTTCAAAATTACAACTGCAATAATAATATAATACAGGCAATATTATATTAAAAATATATATATCTTTAATGTAATTATCTGTTTATTAATATTGTTACAAAGAAATTAAAATTTAAATATGATTCCCATAAAAATGTAAAAATTAATATTTATATCATATATATTATTATATATATAATATAATTCAACTATTAAAAAATAATAATTATGAAATTATATATTCGTAATACTTCTTTAAAACAGAATTATGTATGGTATTTTAAAAAATAACTAATTATAAAATATATGTTAGTAGTACGGATTAATCAGCCTTTGCATATATTTTCTTGAAAAAATTATAACGGAATAAAATGCACTTCAATGTAGAAAAAATATAAAAATCAATTTTAAATATTATATAACGACGGAAACATGTTGATACATGCGCACGCAGTTTAAAATACTAATAACCGTACATACCTAACCTATATTAACAGGTAGATTTAAGATTAGAAGCAGTATACATTATCCACACAGAATGAAGGTAATAGGCTCTTTAATTAAATAACAAAAAGAAAAATAACGGAAAATAAATAATTAAAATATTAAAGAAGGAAAAGTAAAACAGGCGGGGCTTGCATCGTATGAACAGGATAGTCAACAAAAGGATGAGAAAGAAAGAGAGAGGGGTGGTGGCATGAAATTAAGCGTATGCTACTCGTGGCGTTTCAGTCACTGGATTGCACGCATAGTGTGAGTGTTGTATCGGAGTGCTTTCGGCCGGTCTTGACCAGTGCTAATCAATGCTTTCTGTGTGAAAGTGAATATGTATAAATATAACTGCTAAAATATTGCTGATTTACTTTTGTTTCGATAAATTTGTCGTGTAAAAAATTTCTTGATTTTTTGTGTTTTGTTTATGTATATTTGTAGTACTTGCATACAACGTTAAGGTTAGGAAAATTGCTGGATAGCTAAATGTATCACGCTGTATACAAATTGTTAAACAGTAAATAGTTATGATAAACTATGTTTATTGTGTGGTCGCGTGAAATAAAGTGAGTTAAGAAAATAGGATGTCATTTATGTTTCGTTGAAGAGTTCGGCTTGCAGCTTTAGTGGCAGACGTAAGAATTGAACTGTTGGTGGAAGCAGAAACGGGTCATGCGAATGACGTAAGGTAACGGATCTCCGTATGGATAAATAATGTATAGAAAAGAACGATAGAAATAAGAGACGAATTGAAGAAGAAAAGAGATAATTTTTTGTTACATTTAAAATGAGGTTCGTTACATGGTGTTATACACGTGCTTTCGTCTGCGTTTTATTGTAATCTGTTTCATTTAATGAGAAAATTAATTTGACTTTGTGTACGTTTGAAAATTACTTTTGTTGTTAATTAAATCGATGTACATTTAAAAATAATTTAAATGATATTTATGAAATGTATATACAATATTGAATATATATCTATATATTTACTAGAGACTCAAGATACATATAATATTGAACCATATTTTATGATGTATACATGATGTAGAATATGATAGCTATAGTATGTGCTCATGTATGCTATACACTATATTACCAACTTGTTTTCTAATGTTTTAGAAGGAAAAGTATAGCTGTACGTTATGAACATTTTTCTTTTTATAATTGTTTTATAACCATTTATTATCTTTATTATGTACATATGTTTATTATATCGTCAAACTTTTTTATGTCTTAGATTGATACAGATTTATGCACTATATAATTACATGTATCTCCTTTTGCTCATAAGATTTAGAAACTTGAATAAGTATATGGGATTCGTACGATGAAATAGCATTCTAAAAATATTAATTTACAAGCCTTTTCATTTGTAAGATAAGGTATAATTTCTTATGATTAATGATTTTATGTTATTAATAAAATTTTCTTTTACATGCAGAAAATTAAATAACACTAAAGTATCGTACTAAATTTTGATAAAATGTAATACAAAAGAATGTAGTTTATGAAATAGTTGAAACTTTTTTTATAATGTATCGAACAAAGGATCAAAAGTTAAAACAAATTGATAAGTTAGACATAGTATATAACTCTTAAGTGGTATTGTTGTTTTCAATGAAGTATAATCAAGGATATTAAATAAAATCTAGTCAAGTAAACTTATTGTGCAACTTTAGATAATCAATTAAGATAATAAACTTATTTATTTCAAATCACTAAGCAAATATTTACTAATCAATTTTATTGAAATATTTCTTTTAAAATATGTATTGTATTTTTTGTGAAATATATGTTATATTGTTCTTCATATATTGGTAAATCAGTACAATCATTTTCATTCACTCAAATCTCTTTTACATTTTCCCTTTTTTTTCTTTTTTAACAAAAGCACATATCATGTTTATATCATCTTCTTTTATGTTTATATCAGTTCTTATATAATACCCGTTGTACAAATTTTAGATAAATTATATATGACATTTGCAAACATTAGATGTTTAGAACATAGTTAGCTAAAATTAGAATACCAGTAAGAAAAATTAGATACCATTTAGAAACTGTAAATTATTATTCCTGTTATTGATTATTGAATACTTATGCTTTTGTAGCTTAGAAATATTTTTGCAGTAGAGATTGATGAATTTCTTTTGTATTTTTACATGTCGAATCGATAGTTATTAATCTTAAGTACAGTTCAATAATGTTCGTTGCTGTGGCTTTGGTAAGTGTGTCATGAAGCATGCTTATAAATTTCACAGCGCAATAGTGAAAGGGAATATAAGGGAAACTCGGACTTGACCTAAACGTGGGAGAGGGGCGCATATCCGTTTAAGTGACTTTCGTCATGTTGGGCCAAAACCGAATTATGCTATAACACATATTCCTTCAAAATTTATAAAATTAACGCGAAGTATGCATATTGTCCTTATCGATAGTTTCATAGTGTATTTTATTTGCTTCCGTTCGATACCAGTTAAGCAAAGTTGAACGTCCATTGATTAAATTGTGCTGCCATGACAGGTGACAGATTCAAATTTAGAAATACAAATATACTTTTCTTATATCGATCAAATTGTATTTCTCGTTATAGATTAGTTCTTTGGAATATTCCACGTATAAATATAAAAGTAAGAAATTTTATACAAATAAATAATTCGAATATTCAGTAAAATGCATACTTTGTTTAAGTTTGAGTTATAAAAATGAAGCATATTTATTTGCATTTATTTCGATGTAGAATTTGAAACAATATTATTTGAATATATATACTTATACTTTTTAAATGTATCAATTTTCTTGTGCAAGTTATATAGAGATTATTTTGTATGTAAGCGCTTTAGATTATTTGATTTTTCTATTTCTATTGTGTATTTGTAGGTGTATAAATCACTGAATGTAAGAATTTTCGATACTTAATTAGACATATTTTGGATCATTATTTTGAGCTGTGAGAAATTGTTATAATTTTCGTTATTATTTATAATTATTTGTTGTTATACATATTTATTTCAATGTAAGATTTTTTTAGTAAATTTACTAAAACTTCTTAATCGTAATCATTGTGATATAAATCTGTGATTATTTTTAGGATTACGGTAAGCAGATCTTAACAAAGTAGGTTTAACGTTCGTAGTGATAAGATTAATAAAAATCTATTCGTCTTATCGATATACAAAAATGAAAAGAATAATTTGGTTATATGCAAGAGAATAAAACGAGTACAGTCAAACGAAAAAATTAAAAAAAAATAGATAGTTATTTTTCGATGATGAAGAATTATTTGTCGATAATAAAGAGAAATACAATGTAATTACAAATGATAAAAGATTCTATGATAAAAGGTTCTATAATAGTATTATTTAGCCACTATACTTCTAAATGTTTTACTTAATTAAATTTTGTACGATTCGTTTAATGCCTGAAAGCGACATTATAGTGGAAAAGTTAATTCTTATTAAATTATTGATAATCTTAACGATAATTACGTTGATTCCTTATTTGATCTTACTGCGAGCAGAAAAATATCGCGAGTTGATTAACAATCTTTATACTCTGTTAGTCACGACCGCTGGCATGAACATTGGTTATAGCACGATCTGAACTCAAGCGATTACAGATAAGGAAATGCGCCAGTGCTGAGTAAAATGCGATAATTTGATCTCAATCCACTTGCATTTAAAAAGATATTTAACGAATTTGCAAAGATAATTAATTTTTCCAAGATTTTCCCATATCGTTAATACACATTATTGTATGCTTTATATGTTTTTAAAGTATCGGAATTTCATTAAATGTGTAAAATTTCATTTAAAAAGAAGGAAATCTTGAATTTTAAGGAGTATTGCTACTACAGGGAAAAAGAAATCATAGAAATCAACTTTCGACTGTATAATAGATTTTTTCTAGCATTTAAGTTCCATATTGTATAATTTATTTCAATCATTAGCTATACATGAAAAATATCTACCAACCGACGAGAGGTTATATATTTCATTATCACGCCGTGTCACGTGTACAAAATAAATTAGAAGTAGTATATGAATTTTCTTTTTCAATTTCTTGGAAATAACGAAAATAAAATTCAAAAGTACTTGGATATTTTTAATTTGGACACTGTGTAGAAAATAAATCGTTTAAGTGTCTTCTAAATAATATTGAATTTAATATTATTTATTTTTATATAGACATTTTTTAATGGATAAAGAAAGATTTATAAAAGTACAAGTTTTCTAGCGATAAGTTTGGTTAATAAACAATTATAAAGAAGATTCGTTGGAAAGGACTAGAATTTTTGGCATAGACTAGCGACGAGTCGATACTTACAATCCCAAAGACGAAGGAGTGGGGGAAGCTTGCCTCGAACTCGACGGTCAGGCCTTCGTTGGAAGAGAGGGGAGGGTCACGAGTGATGACGGGAGAGAAAGGTGGGGGTACCGTCTATGATCCGCGAAGGAGTCTTCCACTTACGGATTTACGAATAAAGGAAAAGATTTAAGAGGTGTCAGTAGAATCTACGAAGGAAAGCCTCTACGCTAATTAGAAAATACTTGAAGAAAACGAGTCAAATTTTAGTCGGTAAGGTATTCGGAGTACAGGAAGGAATCAAATTACTAAAAAATCGAGAAGTTCGCATTCTTCTGAGCTGTTCGAACTGTTTAGCGGCTCGCAAAACCGAGTAGCTCGAATTGTTTCGAACTGCTTTCATACGTGTTACGTGGATACGCTGCGTCCGTAAAGGCGTGTTTCCATGTAGGCAACATTTAGGCAATATTTATTGCCGCTTGTTACGCGTTACCTAAATGTTGCGTAAATGTAGCCTAGATGGAAACACGCCTCAGGTGATCGCCGCTCGTCTAGTCTTTTTATAAATACACCGATTGGTCTTTTCGATCCGTTCAAAACAATTCTAGCTATTTACTCGATTTCTTTGAGGTGCTCGACTTTTGCGTGTTCTGGCTTCGTACTGGAAAACGAGGTTCAGCTCGGTTTAAATATCGATCTATTCGAATATTTCGGTACCGAAATATCACATCTATAATTAATGGAAGCAAACCTGAATTTCAGGAATAAACAGTATAATTATTTAAAAACTTTAAAAATAAATGTGTATATATAAATGTACGTATATACAGTGGTATCACAGAATTGTTTGATAAGTGGAAAATGTGACACAGATGAATGAAATAATTAGTTAATAAGGAACTTTTTGAGTTTTTCATTTCAGTGTAGGTACGTAATTTATGGACCAGTGTAACAAAATTTTAATTAAAATTTGAAAAAGGAAAATGTCTTAACAATTCCGTACTTGTTTTTACGTGACAAAATTATTCATGCTAGGAATCGGTAAAAGAAAAGGGATCTATAATTTTTACATAAATTACAGTTATTATGAAAACAGTGGATGAAATAATATGTTTAGCTGTTTTGAAAAACTAGTTAAAGAAAAGTGTTCTGAACACGGTAATAAAAATTCCATCTCAGTTGTCTGACCTAAATCTAACAAATGTAGCGTGGAATTTATTGAATATTAAAATTTATAAATATTGCATTACAAGCAAAATTGCAGAATATATTACAAAAGAAGTAGCAAAAAGTAGATGTTTAAAAATAGTAATGAGATAAGTGTCGAAAAGACTTGCTATAGTTATTATAAAGCAAAAAGGGTATTACTATGATTAAAGCAGA